GAATTTAACCCCGTTTTTTTAAAATTACGCTTCTTGCATACCTGAGGGCTGAGTCACTTCATCACAGGTCATCTACAGCCTTTGAAACCAATTTCAGAACCTAATTACAATAATGGCCAGCTAAATTAGCCTGTCAAGCACAACTGTCATCAGTAAAATTTGATTTCAGTCTGTCATTAACAAAAAACAGAATAGTAGGGCTAAGTCCTTCATGTTCACTTGGAAACTTCTCATTCTTTCTTTACAATTTTTATCCTGATTTCCTAAAAAAATTAGGCTTAAAAGATGAAACTGCCATTCAATTCTCATCTCATTCCATGCTAATCACCTCTGAAGCTTATGGTCACCTTCAACCCAATTTGACAAATAACTCAGTACCTGTGTATTTTGTGAAACAACAGTCTGAAGGCAAAATTGAACCACATTATTAGACATTAGGAAATCCACACAAGCATGAACCACTGGAAATCGGGTTTCATGGGTTCTGCTGTTCACAAGATTAGTTGTCACCTAATCAGTCATTTAGTTTACTATTCATGCCAGGATTTGCCTGTGCCTCTCTCAGTCTCATTGAGGTTTCTTTCTTTCTTTGCTCATTTGTCTCTGTTTCTTTCCTTTCTTTCCCCAGTCCCTTCAATTCTGTTGTCTAACCCAAGCCAAAAATCCACAGCTTTTAAGCTCCAGCAAATTCTCTGTAAACCATCCTCTTCATTTTCTCATAACTGCTCAGTTGTCTGTCAACTGGCCCTCCTAATCAGCTAGGTAGCATGTGTGCTGTCACCTCCTACGGTCCATCTTCCACACCTCTCAGGCCACCGCACTCCTCCACCTGCTGCCCTCTTCTCTATTTTGAAACTTTCTTGAACTTCCAGTACATGTGCTTCCACAGCCTTCTCTTCATCAACCCGTTTGATGTGCGCTGACCATGGCTCCCTCTTCAATGTGTATTGTCCACTTACTGGTTATCTGCAGAAGCAGCTGACAGGCTGCCATTTTCAGTGCAAAAGGACAACAACATTTGGTAGGATTCACAGTGCCTAGGAAACAAGATTTCTGTGGTGAGCAAGGACATTATTCAAAATCTGGAACCAAGAGGTGATGGACATTTCCACATGTGGTGCACAATGCAAGCTAACGAGAAGGAAAACCCAGAGTTCTACCTATGCTACTTTTCCTACACTAAAAGGAATCTAGTCAAACAAATATCAATCCATGTATTTACCAGCACATGCAATGACACTAACGCACTACAGTGTACAATATATTAAATTAGATTACATTATATTATAGTGAAGAAACACTAATGTTCTATAGCATATATTATAGTATATTATGGTGAAGTACCTACTAAACATCATCTTATAGCATTTTGTATACTTTTCATTTAAAGTTAAGAAGTAGGTACCCCTATTCCACTTTACAGTTTTGCATTCAGCCAAATCTTCTGCAGTTCCAGAAAAGATCCACTTTAAAATACAGGAAAATTTCTCAAAATACATGGAGTTATGACTAGCCAGCAAAGAAGTGCTGTGCGTCTTATTAGTTACTTCCCTGAAAACTGGAAAAGACAGCCTCCTTTGAAGTTAGGCTTCTTTATTTGCGCACAGAATCCAAGCACTATTTAAAGATAATAAAGAAAAAAATCTCAAACTGTTTCATCAAATTATACATTCAAATGCTTAACCTGACAAAGGGAAAGGGAAGAGAGATTATCGAAATACTTGAAGTTTTGTCTTCACTGAGTCTAAACAATCAGCTTCAAAAGCCCTATGCTTTGTAACCCAGTTAATGCCATTCAAAGCTTGAGAAGTATGAAGGATTCTTTAGTGCATGATCAATTTGAAAAATATTCTTTAGGATAATGGGCAGCAAAAAAAGGAAACAAAAAAATTAGCTGTGACAACAACTAACCACACCCATTGTTTAATAATACCTGATATTACCATCTTAAAGACACTTCAGAGAGTTTTCCATTTTCAGTTGCTTTCCCCCATGTGATCTAATTAATTTTTGCAAAGAAACAGTCCAAACCAAACAACTGAGAGGATGCCACAGTGACCAGATAAAACCAGATTAATTCTATGATGCTTGCTAATTCCTCTGTACACATTACCAGTAATGAATTATGGACTTTGTAGAAACTAAAATAATCTGAACTATCAAATACAGATGAGGCATACAGCGTAATGGAATATCCAACTGCGTATTTTATGCTCTTCAGTCTACTCTCTACAGCATACAGGGCAGTTTTTGAAAAACCTCTGCCTTGAGCAAGAATATAGATCAATTATTTTCAGACCCTGGCTTTTATGAGAGTACTTGAGCTTTTACATGGCTTTCTAGGCCACAACCTCTTCTCTCTGTTTGCTTGTCTTAGACCACCGTTTTAAAGCAGCTCACATCCCCTTATGAATGCCTTATCAGTGGCTAAACAGGGACAAAAAATGCGATTCTGTCACTTGGTCATGGGAATGCAGTTGTTCTTCACCTTTCAAAAGTCATTCCTGGTGCAGAAGAGGGAAAATTTTATGTGCACTCTCCTGCTTTGGATATATCCCTTAGAGGGCCAATAAAATATCCAGGGCAGCTACATACATTCCTGTAGCTGCTAGCGCTGGCACGCCACATAATGGCACATGGGAAGGTCTAGCTTAGGGCCAATACCTTCTCTTGAGATCATTTCCCACAAATGCCATTTCACTGCTCCCAGCTACTCCTCTCTACTCCAAAGTTGGCCTAGAACCACAGAAAAAGAAATGAGAAGATACATAAATGGTGCTAGCACATTACATCCAATAGCAAATAACAGTACATATACACAGGAACTACTACATTACAGCACATATGTATATACAAATGGTGCCTGGAGAGGTCATAATGTTTGTTACCACCTTCACCTACGCCTACAACAGTATGTGTTCTGACTTAATTTATTTTGATTGACAGGCTGTGTTATAATTTGCATGCCTGTCGAGACTTTCAGTATCAGTGATCTGTGACTCTCCCCTCCCACCATTATGTACACACACACATAAATGTGTGTTTTAATCATCTTCTTGTTACACAGGTTTTAAATAATTTTTATACTGCTGTGCTATTTCTGCCTGAGAATCAGGCAAATATACTGATGTCAAGATTCAAAAGCCTTTGTTAGAGCCGTGCCAGTTCACATCAGGTGGGGAGACTAATGTTAAGAAACAGAAAAGCAGCTGCTCTTACACAAATATTTTGGCAGAAAATAGCTGGGAACAATGGGAGTCTGAATGACTTTTGGCACTCAGGTGACAGCAAGACTCCAGAAATAAATTATTATCCTGCTTATAATTGCAGTTGCCACTATATAGAAATTGCAACTCACTGCCTGGTTTCCCCTCCCCCGCTTCCTTTCCTTCGAAGTCTTTCAGTGCTGCTACCTATCTGCCATGTTGTACATCAAAGCACAGAAAGAACAGGGGAGGAAGCTGTGGTGAAGGTGAGGGAGTGGGAAATACAGCTGGGTGGCAAGAGGATGTAAAGAGAAGAAAAATTAAGTGCTCCTAAAGCAGAGGTTCTTACAAGCGGGGGTTCTTGTAGTAAAGGGAGTCTCCTTACTGTCATCTAAAAAGTCTTCTTCCTCATCCTCCTTTCTCAGATGCCTCTTGGTCTCCTCATCATAAATGAGGCCCAGCAGGTTGGCAGGGCTCTCACTCTCAGCATGGCACAGCTCGTTGAGGCGAACACCGATTGCCTGCAGAGAGGGAGAAAGAGAAAGCAAAGGAAGTGAGAATTTCAGCCCAACTCACTGGTGGTCAAGGGCTTTATCCTGTGCAGGCTGTGGAGATGTACTAGCCAGAATAGAACGTCCTGACTCTATTTTTATTGTCTGTGAAGTGCAGTAATGTAGAGAAAGGGATTGTAATAAATGTATACATATAAAATTTGTTCTCAAACCGGCTGATGGAGAAAGAGGAGAAGCCCTGTGATGAATGAGTTAACTTTGTTCATGAAATCGCACATGGGTGTTAGAGTTTCTTTTGCAACTTAAGCTGGAGCTGCAGACATCCCGAGGAGTGAACAACCATTTGCTGATAAGTAAGGGAATGGCCTATCTGCTGATAAGCAAAAGAATGGCTTGGGGGATGAACGAGCAGACAGCAGGACACCTGAGAAAGACTTCGGCCTTCATCCCAACGACCACCGAAAGGCAAAAAATGACCACCTAGCAACTAGTCACGCAAGCGCAAACACAACGCAGAGACTACCAGAAGTCACGTATGCAGGAAATAGGAACTCCATAAAAATGGGGGTTGCATCCACTATTGGTGCGCACCGTTGGTAGAGCAAGAGACTCCCCGGTCGCCCAGCACTGTTCTTGCCTGCTTTGCTTGCTTAAATAAATTTGGCTTTAATAAATACAACTGGCTCTTAGCCTTTATAACAATTTGGTGCCGTGACTCGGATACAGCTTAACTTGGTTCGGGAATCCAAACTCTGGGGAGGCGCCCCATCCCATCTTCGGATGGCCCCTGGGTGGATGATTCCCTCTTCCAACATCTGTACCTCCGAACCCTAAATTAAGGAAGCAGGCAAGAAGAAACTGCAGTACCCCGTAATTTTTGTGCACGAAGAGTCGAACGAAGACTCCAGGACGCATGAGTATTATTAAAGATTTCTGTTTGGTTGGGGTGGGTTTCCTGAGGTGCGATTGGTACGGAGGCATCTCGGAAGATGGGACAGGGGAAAAGCAAGCCCTCAGGACCCATGGGGAGGGGGAGGAATACCCCCCAGGATGCCCTCTAGAGCTGATGATGAGGTATTGGGATAGCTCGCTGAGGAAGAAAAATAAGTCTAAAGAAAAGATGATGAAGTATTGGGCTAGCTCGCCGAGGAGGAAGGATAGGGCTACCCAGTATACCGCCAGAAAGTCCCTTAGGGTTAATGATTGTCCACTGGGGAGATTGGCTGTCTAGGCGAGGAAAGAGTAAAAAAAAGATGGTATATTATTGTATGCAGGTATGGGGTGGGAAACAAATAAGAAGGGACCACCTATATTGGCCCATTTTCGGTTCCTTTGAAGACTGGATTTGTCAAGCTCTGAACATATATGTGAATTCCAAAGAACCTTTTAGCTTAGAGGAGAGCGAATATGCATTTAAAGAAAGAAATGTTCTGCATGCCTCTCCGCAAAGCAGTAATTTATCACGTTATTTATGCTGTGCTGTCCACCCTAATATTAAAGTAATCATACACAATCCCACAGCTTCCTACCTTATGAGCGCTGAATTCCTAACATGTATTATCTGCATCAATTATGCTTGGTTTTCCTACCAAATGGAGAGCATGCCACACTTCCAGAGAAAATGTCTCTTAACAGAAACAGCCAAAGGAAGTGACAGACTAAGCTGATCAGAATAGGTTTAACACTGTATTATTTAAAAAGACAGCATAACAAGTGAGATTGCATGACTCTGATGCCATGAAAAGCTGGAATTGAAGACTCAATAGTCGGCAGACTATTAAGCAGGTATTCTTTATTACGGGGCGCCGGGCACACGGGGGATCTCTCCTCCAAACATGTGCACCAAAGAGACACAGTTACTAGGTATTTATGCTATGTTAACATACATATTAATTACATTTGCAAGAAATGCTTATCATAGTAATGGTTTTTCCGAGAACTCATTAATATATAGTAATGTCCGTCGCACATGTTTTCTTGGCGTCTCTCGGCGGGTTCTTCAGATTATCCTGCAGCCTCCTTATCTCTGTAGTTTGCATACCTGTTCTCCCAAGGCCCAGGCGCCTAAAGGGGTTATTCAGGAGTCCCTTGTCTTGCAACCATCCCAATTATTCACAAAGAACCAAGACTTATTTTGGTGTGCAATGATTCTGACCACCTGAAGTGATAACATCCCCTACATGTTACATTTGTTACATTTACAGTTATCAATCCCTCCTTTTCTTTTGAGGATTTGTAGCTAGAAAGCTCTGAATCCTCACTATTTTATTTTGTCATGGTCAGCATTAGCTGAAGGTTCCCTACCATGTGCTCCACTGAGAATGAGTGTGCATTGGTTTATCCTAGAACAATACAGGTCAGCAAGGCTTTTTTGGTGTGGGTTATGTAAGTACCCCAAGACTGCAGAAATACACATTTTTCTAATTCCCCTGAGCCTTGGATTTTGTCTTTTTTTGGGGGGTGGGTCATGACACTCACTGTAAACATCTCAGATTTTATGAAAAGAGCACAAAGCTCACTTCCAGATAGACATATGTAACAGGCATCACAGAGGTCAAAGGAACTTCCCCACTATTTTGAGTTGTGTGAAATTACTTGCAGTAAGTGTCAGACCTTCAACAGGTATACCCTGATGGTCTTCCAACAAAATTGCAAGTGGCACTGACAGGGCCAGAGAGGTCAATTGCCTAGTTCATGAGTTGTAAGAGATCATGATCAAATAAAACTTCAAGGAGCCAAGCTCAAAACAAATCACAGAATCACAGAATGGCAGGGGTTGGAAGGGACCTCTGTGGGTCATCTAGTCCAACC